GGTAAACCGCTTCACCGCCAACATCACAGAGCTCAACAGCATGATGCTGACACCCTCTCCAACCCACTCACACACCACGCACAAACACACGCCTCCTTCTCCTCACCCCACCGACCCGTATCTGTTGCCCCGAGAAATCCAGATGCCTCCGACCCTTACCACCTACGCTGACGTCCAGCCCCTCCCGCCTGTCGAGTCCAGCGTGGGGGGCCGGGGTGGCTGTCTCGTTCACCCAATTCCTCATTCACCTTACCCCCTGCCACCTCCTCACCCCCAAACCTCACCCTCTCTCTCTCCCATGCGAGGAGGACTGATCACCTGCCTCGCCGACTCCCCTCTTAGGAGGGCAGAGTTGGAGGAGGAGCTCATTGCTTTGACTCCGCCGTCGCCTTTCCGTGATTCCCTGGCATCTAGTAGTGGCTCACCTGTCTCAGAGACAGATCTGTGTCTCCCCCCAGTCCCTTCCCATCCTCCCCCATCTCCCCCTTCGCCCAGGTACAGCAGACTGACACTCAGAAACTACAGCCAGAGCTCATCCTCACTGTGAGACAGAGTTGACACGTAAAGGAAATGCGAAAGTGAAGAGGAGCACTCAAAAACAGCGGTCAATGCGAGAAAAGAGGATGGAGAGACTGAAATCCATTCGTCCCTACATGGGGTAAAAACCTGAAGTAAAGGAGTCATGGAGGGCTGGTTGGTGAAGACACCAAGCTGTGACAGTCTGCTATGTTTGTGTTTACATGTTTGCAGTGAGATGCAAATATAAGAAGATTGCCCACATTGTATTTTCTTTCTGTTTCTAACAGTGGGGAGTGAAGAACGGCAAGAATGGCCACTGTAACTCTGCAGTGTTTTGGTGTCCGTAAAGCCCAAAATTATTCTCGAAGGTCTCAAGCTACGTTTTGTTTAGGTTTAGGTAGTGGCCTTAAGGTAACATGGCTATCAACTAATTAGAGAGAGTGTGTGTGTGTGTGTGTGTGTGTGTGTGTGTGTGTGTGTGTGTGTGTGTGTGTGTGTGTGTGTGTGTGTGTGTGTGTGTGTGTGTGTGTGTGTGTGTGTGTGTGTGTGTGTGTGTGTGTGCATGAGTATGTTTTTCCTGTATCTTAGTTAATGAGAGGTAATGGAAACATGACAGCGGAGATTATTGATGAGGTAAGACTCCTAAAGCCTATACGGACTAACCAGAGGCTATCAAGGGCACATATATATTTGGTCAAACACACACACACACACACACACACACACACACACACACACACACACACTCAAACACATAGGTGTGAGCACACGCAAACAAATACAATGTAAGGGAAAAACACTGTAAATATATGAGAGGTGATGGATTTTTTCTGTGGTGATAAAATCCAACACGCTTCTGACAAAAGTGCATTGTGTTAACATACCAGGCCGTATGTTACTATGAAGATCTTTCTCACAAAAGCATCTTTTTATTCATTCACCTCTGCAATCTGTTCCCTCCACATAGCTTTCTTTTCCTCAGTCCCTCTTTCTCTTGCTGCTTTCTTTTATCCTGCCAGTATTTCAGTATTTTCTACTCTTCCAGTTTTGTTTTCTCCAGAAGTTTGAATGTATATTTTCTACATGATTCCTGAAGTAGTTGGGACCAAACCTTTCGTACCTCTCTGTCTGTGACTCGAGAAAGAGGGAGGGGAGGGATCGACAAGACCAGGCCTTGTTTTACCATAAACATCTTAGTCATTAAATCTTCTGGTGGATTATTGGCAGAAATCTGACCTCAAAGCTTCACTTTAGTGTGTGACATTTAACTGAGCATTATGTAAGGCTTTGCTGGATCCCATTCATGACATTTTCTCTTTACAATGTGTCAGGACACAAGTGTCACTCTGTTTCATCAAAGACATTGCTTTGAATGGGATTAATTGGAATCACAGTCATCTTTTATGTTAGTGGGCACAGGTTGATAGATTCAAGCTGGGAGATAGCCTCCTCTTCTGCTTCTACGAGGGTCATCTGTTAGGCAGGTGAACTGTTTGAACTTTTCAAACTCTTTTCAGACACCGAGGGGCAAAACAACAAAAAAGGGTTAATATTGAATGGGCATCTCATCTAAAACCAAAAGCGAATCAGTGAGCTACAAAAGGTTCTTTTGGCTGTTACTTTAAAGTAAGGTCTGGTCTAATTAGACTAATTCCAAATGTCATACTTTCTTCATTGGGGGAAAGGTGGTAATTACATTGTCTCTAAAAGGTGTTAGGCAATATAAGTATATCAATGTGTTTTGTAGGAGACAGTTTGGTTTATATGGAGGTCTGATATTAGCATAAAGTTTAAAAGGTGTTTATGCATCTTAATATTCCAATCATAAATGTCTGTGTAGATGGGTAAACAGAATTGAACTTGGAAAAGACTGCAAAACCTAAAATATCTAATTTGGCTGTAAAAGATTTGGATTAAAAACGTATGCTTTTAAATGGAGTGTTGCACTTGCATGTGCCAGCACTAATTTGCAAGAACCCAGAGTAGCTCTGGGGTATAAAATGTGCCGATGAATGCATTCACTAAGATGCTTTTGAGAAACGGGGCCTTGGCTTTTTGTCAGCTCCCTCCGTAGAGGAAAACACTCAGCAAAGAAAAGTCAGAAGGTTGTGATACACAACACAAACATTTTTTTGGGACATTTTATATGAGGAATGTTATCTGCTGCAAAATACATGGATTGGTTTATCTGACTTAATTAATTGGGCTGTTGGTATCACAACAAAAACCTGTGCTTCAAAATGTTGCCTGTGTATTATTGTCCATCACAATCTCCATATTTTCTGCAGCGTATGCATCGGTCTGCTGTGCTAGCTGACCAATGCATATGCAGTCTATGGTCTGATTTCTCCTCGTGAGTGTAGTATTTCTGCTCTACAGTAGCCAGCAAGAACAAACTCAGACAAAGTGATTCTGTAAATACTAAGGGCATGCAAAGACCGTTCTGTTATGTTTCAGATGAAAGTAATTTTATTTACATATCAACAAAGGTCAAAAAAAGAAAAAAAGATGTTTTTGAACTATGTTATAACATCATACAGTACCAATATGTGTTACGACTACAGAAACTGTGTTACTACTCTGAAAGTGTGAGTGACCATTCCTATTCAAATGTCTTGTAATTCAACAATATAATAATAATTAATATTAATATGATTATTGTGCCAAAGGGGTTAGGGAGGGTCTAGCTTACTAGCTCGTGGGTAAATAAGTGGTTTCATAAAAAAAAGAAAAAAATGTAAATGTAAAACTGTTTCTATTGTTTTGGATATTTTCTATATAAATATTCCACATTTTCCAGTGTAAAAGCAATATTATCCATACGTATTCAAGGTGCACATCTGAGGGGTTTCTTAAAGCAAACAGTGTTTTAGATTGTTGTTCTTTTTCATCAGTCTGTAATCTCTGGTGACAATTCAACAAAGAAAATTGTGGGTAGATAAGTTGACAATTCTTTTTCCGGGATTGTCTCTAAATCTTTATGTAATGAGAAAGATACATTTAGTAATTTCTAGTAACAAAGACGGTGCAATTTCCTATTTTTGCAGTGTTATCTTCTCACGTTTTCCACCGTGTATTCCTGGTTCAGTCTCTGATCTAAACTTTTAGTACAATCCACTGATGACATAGCCGCAGTGTGAGGTAGTTAAGGAGATGATTTGTGTGTGCCATTAATTGTTGTTTACTCTTTTTTTTCTTTCTGTTTTCTTTGAAGTGTGCCGGTTTAATTAAGACGCAAACCTGGTCTGGTGTAGCTACAGTATGTCTCTACAACGCAGAGCAAGACAATAAACTTCTTCTATGGTCCCAAAGTGGGTACGCACAATCAACATCTGACATAATTGTACAGAGACTTTTGTTTATGATAGGGATACAGAACTTGCACAGAAAAAAAAAAAAACATGAAACGAGAACTGTATTGTCATAATTGTTGACATAATTGGTTCCTGTCTCAAAGTGCTGTCTGTGCATCATTACCTCTACATCTACTCATTAATTTGAACAATCTTGGCCCTGACCTGTTGTCAAAAAATGAACCAGTGCTATTGTTGAGATGTTACTGTGGAGGAGAGCTGCTGTCACTGACAGTGTTTAAAACATGCTGAGAGAGTAACAGGGAGCTTGCTTCAGCACTTCAGCTGCGTGTTATCGGCCCCCTGGGTGAGGCTCGACAGTCTTGTGCTACCTCTGCAGAAAAAGACAGGATCAGCGTTTACATCTACTGCTATCTTATTCTCTTTAAGGGCTCAGTTCTGTGACATAACCCTCTATTGAAATCATACATGACCAATAAAGTAGCAGCAGGCTTCGTGTGAAATTGCAGGAAAAGGAGAATCTTGGCCTCATGTAAAAAAATAATGCAGGTATTGACTTGTAAGATAAACTCACTAAACCGCAGGGAGATGAAAATGAATCTGTCATCTATTGTAGCATTTTGACAAAATATGACTTTAGACTCTGATCTACGTAGATGTCAGGGGATCGTTACACCCAGTGATGTTTCTAACATTTTCCATGACAGATACAGAGTAATCGCCCCTGTATGGAAATGAAAAGACGTCGACAGTACAGTAGTAATGAGGGACATGTTGTTGACAAACTGTGAGCTTTCTGCGCTAATATATTTTAGCCCTACCTCAAGGATCACAAAAACTCCCACTCACATTAATCTGGGGTGATCTCAGTTATAGATATTTCCCCTCGTATTCTAGTCAAAATATGATGATGATGAGTAAAATCTTTTGCTCGCCAGGAAGATGATCTCCTGATGATGTCAACCCAAAATGCAGTTGGCTGACTTATTTTTATAAATGCACTCTAAAGAATTGGATTGATAATCCCTGCGCTCAAAAATACTTTTAATCCAGACATGCTCATCTGCTGATCAGAGGGAAAAACCACACAAGGTCATTTATTTTATATCTTTTGAGTGAAAATTATAAAACAAGCCTGCAGTCAATCAAGGGGGTCTCTCTCGTCTCTTGATCCTTAAACCCTGGTTCAGAGCCAGATACACATAATCACGGGCTGTTTCAGCATCTGTAGGCAGATTGGTGACGTACTGATGAGGGAGTTTTTCAGAAGGGATGTACAGTAGGAGTATAACAAAAACATTTAATTTGGCGGTGTAGTGTGATAGAGAAGCCTCTCCCCCTGCCCCGCCCCCCTGAGCATTTGTTTGATTTGATACAGAACACAGAACTATCTTGTCTTAAAAACCACTAACAGTATTTTTGTAAGTTTGTCTGAAGCTGCCTATTTGAATGTTGCTTTTTATAAGCGAGTTAAGAGCATGTGTGTGTTTTAATATGCGGTTGTTTCCTCAGCCAATAGGGTAAAATGACAGATTTTAAGTAGTCAGTGTAGGGTATATAGTGCAGAGGAGATGGAGTTGCATTATGAGAAATTAGGATCTGTATTATATTGATTAGAAGTAAGAGAGGAGTTTTTGTATGTATTTATTTGGCTTCAGGATTTATGAAAAAGTGGAATAACGTATTAAGCAGGTCTGTGTCTGTCTTTAGGGCATTATTGTTTTGCATACAGAGCAGGCAAGTTGCAGAATTTACAGTATTGTGTATTGATGGTTTGTGAAATATAGTTAAACAAACTCATCCCATGTTTCTGTTTATAAGAGAATTAAACCAAACTGAGCTGTGATATTATACCCTTTCACACAGAGGTATCCTTGAAGGGGCATGTGGGTGATTTCTTTCAGACAACATGGTTTTATGCTGTGCTTTTTATATTTTTCATAGACCATCTTGTTTGGATTACTGCTGTGGACACAAATACAAAGGAAATCCCCATTAATACCCCTGCTTTAAATTCTGATGAGATTCTATTTTCAGTAGAGTATTAGAAATATCAATAAGGAGATGAATGTTGCCTAGAAGTGATGTTTACATTATTACCGATCACTTGAGATAATCAAGATTATCATGTGTTTTTACTGACTTCAGTTGTTGTGACGTTTTACAAGCTTGTAAGCAAACCAACAAGTTTCGGGTTCTTCAGGAACTCTGAGGTGGATGATCTGAACAGAAAAACTAATTTCACTTATCCTCGACAAAAAAGCAGCTCATCTGCATATAAATGAAGGCGCTGTGTTATGTTCCAATCTGTTTACAACCCAGATTTATCAAAACCCTAATTCAACCGAGCTCGTTGGAGCGGCTAGTTTGGGCTTCATTTTGATATAAAAAGAAATGATGATGGGTTACCATAAACATAATTAAAGGGAAGTGAAATGAGCTGAATTCCCTATGAGTGTGCAGAATGTAATATTTTATATTATTTTCATTTATACATATTTATTCACTCCAAGCAGAAAATGACTATTACGGGAATGAACATTTATGATAAATGTATACTAGTTATTTATTTAAAAAATAACAGCAAAGTCAGGCTTAATTGCAGCATATCCCCAGACTCGGTGCTGTTTTATCACGCCGTTGTTAACAAAACCTCCTCCACTCAGTGCCAACTTTCTCTCGTCTTTTTATTTAAAGTGCTACTGCTTTTTTTTAGCCCGGGCGGATAAACACTACAGAAATTGATTAAACTGGAATTATATCTACATGAGCTTCTGTGGTGAAAAATTCTAATAATATATTTTTTTCATATGCCAACATTTTGTAAATGTGATAAAGAAGGCTTAAATTAATCATTTTCTAAGGGAAGCCTTGTAGTGTTTATCCACCCTCAGGGACTTTTGATAGTCAGTTACTTTTAATGAACATGACAAAGCTTTGTTGTTTTTGTTTTTGCTTTTTTTCCCCTTCTGATGTTCATAACTGTAGAATGTAATTTGACGATTTATATTGGTGTGATAATGGAAGATGGTTTTATATTTGGATATTTGATTCTCTATTTAATATTTTCACTCAGCTTTGTGAAATGTGTAATGTGAGAATGTATGGCTCTAGCTGTTTGGAAAATACAGTATGTTTCTAAGTGGCTTTTTAGTGGTGGGGGGGCGGGGGGTGATGACAGATGAGGTGGGGGGAGGGGGATGTAGACGTGTACTTCAGGCAGATTTTTTTGTTCAATTACTGTTTTTTTTTGCACACAAATTAGCTTTAGACTTGCCTCAAGCATTACAAAGTGAGATAAAACAGTTTACTCCCACAAAAGGTTTGATATCTAAATGAATTGCTTTGGGATCCACATTGTTTGTCGCTGACCGGCCTCGTTCACAGGATTTTTGGAGGCTCCCAACAGACTTGGCAGTAAGAACAAGAGCGGTTTTGGCAAAACAGAGTTCTTCTCATCTCCACATTAATGAATCTCTTATCGCCTCACTCCAAATTGGTCCACGGTGATGCCTGTGAAGGCACCTTTCTGGGCGGCTGATCTGTGGCCATTGGGAACAGTAAAGAGAAGGAGAGTGGGCATTGTTAACAGGATACTTTAATGTACTTTTAATATAATTATACAGTGTTTGTGTTTGTCACAGTAGTGGCAAGAGCCTTTAGAGGACCCTCACATATACATCCATCTATGTGGATGTATTTTATCTAGCTTTTGTCTGTTGTTTTGGAGCAATAAAAACATATTTGCACTGTATGACTAAAGTAATAGCCAATAAATCCACTCATTTAACTTTTATGAAATTGGATACACCTATAATATGTTCATATGTTGTAGGTGATCAGAGGGGATGATCAAGGTCAGGAAATTGGAAAAAAACTTGGAGTTGGACCCTGAAAGCATCAAATAGAAAATGCAAAAAGTTTAATTCAAAACAGTATTTTTGTTGTCCTGTGTATCCCATTTGGCAATACCACATTGCTCTGATTCCTCTGTCTTCGCATCCCATCCTTGAGAAGTGTACATCCATTAATGGGAGCTGAGAAAAACTACAAGCCTCCAGAATCCTGTGCAAAAGGAAAAACAGTGAGCACTCGGAGTTAGACGAGTGTAAGGCAGCTCAAGCTCGCTGCACGTCCACTTTACCAGGAAGTTAACTGTGTGGTTTTGTAACTGTTGGGTAGGGGAAAACAAAATCTTTTGTTGAGCACTTCGCCTCTTCCCCAGAAATACTGTGCTACCGCAGCACTTAGCAGGTGGACTATTTTAAAAGTCACCACAGTTTGACTCACTGCAGTCAAATGCCCACCCACTGAGCACCAAGACAGAGCTAGAGTAGCCTTCTTAAAATGGAACAAAAACTTACAGGGCATTCATTAACTCTGACTTACAGCTCTTCACGATGACATGGTTCTCTTTGTGTTTTTTCTTACTGGGATGTAACCACTGACGCATGTTGATGGGTGTAACTAACAATTCTGGGACCCTCCAGTCAGTGTGAGCAGCATGCAGCGGTGCTGCAGAGTCGGACAGGAGATGAGATATGTTGTGGGGAAACAAACAAAGAAAGGGTTTTGCTTTTTAATTTATTCATTTATTTTGCCATTGATAAATCATTGTGTAAGTGTACTACAAAGTACCTTTGAGTCATTATTGGAATCATTATTAAAAAAAACTATGATTAACCTCCTTGTCTTTTCCATCTGTATTATATAATAAGATAATTAGGTTACTGTGTACTAAGATGCAGTATACAGAACATGCAGTCAACCCATCTTTGACCATGCACACCAGGGTTTTCCTCTATACATCCTCTATACACATCATAACTAAAACAATGAGTTCCTGTAAGTGAGCTTTCAGTTTTTGAAGTTGAAAATATGAAAGCACTGGTATCAGATCAGTACTTTGTAAATGGCACCATGTTCATGGGATCGATACAGTATTTCCCCACAGCATCATTCAATTACATATAAATAAATGATCATTGTGGAAAAACGTAGAAAATAATTTGCAGAGATGAAACCTTAGACTGGAGAGACACCTCAACATTTCAATTTTCCTTTCCAGTATCCATTGGTTTTATTTCATCCAGTATTTGGACAAATTTCCAGTTTTATCGCCCACAATAAATGAGCTCAGCAGTCTGTGAGTCTCTGGCCTGCATGTTGAACCCAGTCAGTGGAAGCTGCTAGACAGCACCTTGACAGCTCCTGTGATATTTGCTTCCTCCTCCATCTCCTTCAGTGTCACAGTGACACGGCTGCCATTATGACTGAGTGACACGCTATGAATCAGCCCCAGAAACATTTCACTCATTTAACTGAAGGCATACAGGTTAAGACAATGAAATTACTGTGCCATGTTTCATCCTCTCTCCCCATCTCCTCCTGGTCTCACCAATTCACCCAATTTTGTTTCCCTCTGCCTCTCCTCTACACCCTCCTTTTCTTTCTTTTTCTCCATCTCGCAATAGAGAAATTGCCCTCTCCAAAATGAAATACCACAATTGTTGCAAATTACCCTTTAGTGAAGAGAATTGAAAGGATGACAAGGAAACAAGCAAACAGGAATACAAAAAATTAAAGACTAGCAGGTAGAAATTGAAGGCAATTTGGGAAGTGATACAGCAAACGTACATGTAATCTTCACAAACACTTCAGTTCTTTCGTCATTCATTGATAGAATTATATCTCCTGTAACTGGATCAATATTTACTGCGGTTTTCTCCTTTGGGATGCTCATATGTGTGTGTACGTGTTTGTCTCTGAAGAAACATGTATTGATTTCATGCTCACAGATAACCGTAGTAATCTCTGCATCTCAGGTTTAAATAGTGTTTAATTGTTGTGGGACAATCTGTATGAATGTGATAAGCAGAACCAATAAAGTCATAATAAATCATAATCATAAACAAAAAAATCAATAATTAATCTCTCAAGTGAAGATGCCTCTTGTCTATACCAAACTTGTTCCCAGTTTATACTCTTTGACTGAAAAAACATATACAGGTTAAGTAATAAGGTTGTTAAACTCGCTTTTCAGTGACTAATCCACAAATATTGATGCTGAAGTTAAAACTAGAGAAGAGCTCAGGAAAGTAGAAGAAATTAACTGGGTAGAAACAAAGAATTTCTTGTTATGGAGAGTTTTTTTTACAACATTACAAAAATAGTATAAGAGAAATTTAAATTTATATATATTCTGATTTCTTACAAGTTTCTTGTTTTTAGGTCTCTGGTGGCAGCAGGGATTAAAGCAACCACTTACTCTGAGTAACCTGTATTCAACTCTGTTTTAACTGAAGAGAAACTTTTCCTAAATTAATAGTTTGTCATTTCTGGAATTACACTTATTCGCCCTCTTGCAGAGACTTAAATGAGAGGAGTGGTACCGCTCTTATGGCTGTTCACCAAATATGAAGATATAGCCAGCAGCTGGTTAGCTAAGCTTAGCATAAAGACTGGATGCAGAAGGAAACAGCGAGCCTGGCTCAGTCCGAAGGGAACAAAATAAGCCCACCAAGTTCACTAAAGACAACATGTTGATGTGTGAACCTATTTCTTCAGTATCTGAAGGCTCTGCTGGCTGCTCGGCAACCTTGCAGTGTTAACAAGAGTCTTTGATTACAGATACATTTAAACTATTTGTTAAATAGTGAGCTTCAGAGGTGTTAGCAGGCAGACTAGCCGTTTCTTTCTATTCCTCTCTAAGCTACGCTAACTGGCTGGTGTTAATCTTTTCATCTAACTCTCGGCAACTAAAGCAACTGAGTGGATTTCAACGTCCAGCTATTCCTTTAACCTCGATCAGTGATTTGCCACATGGTCAAACACTTACGTCAACAAAGAAAATAATATGATCGAAATGCCTCAGCTGGCATGTTTCCAGTGAATGACTAAAAGGAACATGAAGACCCAGAGACCTCAATTTGATCTCTTATGCCTTAAAATGCAGCCTTTCTGCGATTGATAGAAATTACCTTACAAAAGACCCTAATTTTCTCCTCTACACCCCCATGTACTCAGCTGTGAACTGTGTTTGGTCCTAAAAGAAAAATGGTGAGAGTGCATTGGACTTTTTTGCAAATGAATAATTGTGCTTATAAGTAAATAAGTAAGACTATGTTTTTGCGTGGCAGTAAAAAAAATAGAATAATACAATCATACATTATACAGTAATCCTGTATTACCTGTGTGTCCCACAACATACATTTACTGTAATCACTATTGAGTGCTGTTTGTTCCGTGGTAATGGTGTGTTGGCTCTATATATAAAGTCTGTGTGGGCAAGAGGTGTCAGCATGTGGTTAAGAGTGAATGTCAGATTGTGTGTGTGTGTGTGTGTGTGTGTGTGTGTGTGTGTGTGGACACATTACATACATACATTTGCTGCGTGTATATATGCATGTGTGGGCATGGACATATGTACAAGGAAGGTGAAAACATTTCTTTCCACAGCGTGTGTGTAGGTGTATGCATATGGCTGAGGTAACTGACCGTGAAGCCACTCCAGAGGACTTAATTTAAATGTGAAGGATGTAACATTAACACCAGAAGGCTGGAGTGGCCAACCCCACTCTGTGATGGAGTGGCTCCACCCACACCTCCAGCTTAATGAAATGCAGCTCTTGCATCCTTTAACAAAGCACAAAAAAGCAGTGAAAAAGGCAATGATGTCAGTACTGCTGAGAGGTGTCGTTACACAGTTGACTGTGGAAATCATCATAAAGTTGCCATCAAGTGGAACTAAACACCATTGTGGCAGTGTCTCATTACTAGTAATGATATTACAGTTACCCCCCTAAGAAAGGATTAGTTACAACCTTACTTTTGTTGGCACCCCGAAATTGATGAAACACATATTCAGTGGCTGAAAATATTCCTTATTACCTTTCCCTAATATTACTTTGAATTTAACAAACAAAACTTCATTTCAATCGTCAAAAGTCTGAATTTTGGGAAGAAGGGACACAATAACAAATTTTGTGGTTTGTAGCAAAAAAGTACTAGTAGTGTAACTAATTACTGTTGGCTGGGAGTAATAAGTAAAGTAATAATATTACTTTTGAAAAGAGTAATGTGTAATAATTAGATTTTTTTAAGTTACTAGCCCATCACTGATTAACACACTGACTGAAAGTGTTTTTTAGGTGACACATAAGTGACGTCAAGATCTGAATGGCTTTCAAACAGCATGTTAATATTAAAGACAGTTTAGTCACAGGTGTTCATCAGGTATTTAGCAGCTTCAGACATGACTCAGCTGGTGTGAACTGAGAACCGGAGCGAACGGTTTCATTAATTCCTTTTATTATTACACTTATATTAATTTCAGTAATTCATTCAGAGTTAGCATTTGCATAACTATAATGTTAACCTCTGCTGCAGTTCAAGGAAGAGAAACTGTGCGGGGAATACAAAGAAGGGAAATACAGATAGAGGCATTCTTATTATGCTCATACACATACTGTACACCTGTACACACATTAAGTCCCTTTTCAAGCAAAAATTCCAAATATTCTGTGGCTCCAACTTCTCAAATGTCAGGATCTGGTTCTTTTCTCTTGGTTATATCACTGTAAATGTATTAATGCTGGCTTTTGGACTGTTTTTGGACAAAACAAGATATTAAAAGACAGTACATTGATTGGGCTCAGCCAAACTGTGATGGATGTTTTTTTAGCTTTTTTAAAACATTTTTATGACATTTTATAGACCAAATGGAAAATCAGTTTAAGAGGAAGGTATAAAGGTTCACAGACAGGCTATCTGTCACATAATGTCTCTTAGTGAAGCACATCCCGAGCTTGTGTGTGTGTGTGTGTGTGTGTGTGTATGTGTGTTGGGGAGACAGGCACAAGAAATTTAACAACGCAAGTCGGAAGTATGGAGAGCAACAGCAAGGGGACGACAGACTGAGAGCAGAGGAACCAAAAAGGCACGACAGAAGAGGGGAAAGTGTGATGGAGAGAGAGAGGACACCAAGCAAGCAGGGAACAAATCTGTGGGTGCCAATATAGCAGAACTGAAAGTCACTTGAGTTTTAATTTCCTGCCAGTGGAAGCGAGAACAATATCAAGATTGAAACACGAGTTTCAATGAGTCACTCTCAGAGGGAGCTCAGTGGGCTCAGGCTGTTAACATTCATAACACCATCCCTCCGTCTCTGTGTCCCTGCTCCCCGCTCCTCTATTTTGCGTTACACACACACACACACACAGTCACGTAAATGCAATAACATACACATTTGCCCACACTAATGCACACACACTTCCATACAAACACATTGTAATGGCACTAATGAGACTGCATGACTAATACCTCTTCAGTCCCTTCTTCAGATGAGTGCTTATTATGGTCTGTCAAGGAGATGAGTCAGTCTATGTCATGGTTACTATGGTGATCAAAGCCTCCAGCACTTCCCTTAAGTGTCCACTGGCTAAAATAAGCTCTTTAACCCCTTTAACTACAGACCGATCAGGATACAATGACACATGGACACACACACACACACACACACACACACACACACACACACACACACACACACACACACACACACAGGAAAGCTGACTCTCTGACATCCCTCAGCAGACAAGTGAAAAGAGAATTTCCCCACAGGGATTATTAGAATACCACATTATAAACATGATTACAAAGTACCAAGAATTGAGCAGCACACC